CTTGGAAGAGGGCATATTAACCTGGGGACTCCTTACCAAATCAGGACCTCATGGGGAAAGTGGGCTCTCAGATCCTAGCTAAGTTCCAAGCAGAAATAAAATGTACTCTGCACTCCAGTTCTCATGGAACTAAGTACCTTGCCCTCTGACTTCATCGAGGCCAGGACTCCTGCTTCAACTAATGCTGCAGGTCACCTCCTCGGTGTCACCAAATTTTGTGTCTGTCCCTCTCCACTAAGCTATCATTCTGGCCCTGTGGAATTTAACTTCCAATATTCCCCACCACCCTAAGGAACCCTTATTTTGGAGGAAAGTCTATAGAGCAATTTTCCATGGACAAATCTTAGGCTGAATTAGTTAAATACAGAAAATCAGAACTATTCAGTTTCAAATCTTTGTAGTGGATGAGAAAATGTAGTGAATATACTCTGTGAAACCTCTTTTTTAATTAATCAATTTAGAAGATTGTATAAGGTAGTAAAGGCAGTTTTGTTTTGTTTTTTTTAGGATATGTAACAATATTTCCTTCTGTTCTCAAAAACATATATTTTATATAAAAATACAGATAAAAATAGTGAGTCTCCTTGGGATAATTTGCCTACATTCATAATTTTTGTTTTGAATGGCAAATATAAATCAAAGTCAAAGATGTTATTATAGTAAAATTTTTTATGCTAAGCCTCTAGCATCTACAGCAGGAATTGTTTGAATGAATTGTACCACCACCTACCTGTGTGAGAATCTGTGAACAAATTGTACTGGCATTGGGACAAAATGAAACAATCAGTAATTCATAGACCTTGTCTGTCTTCTCTGCCTTTCTTATCTTGAAAGACACTTAGGGATAATGTTTATCTTTCTTTTGTTATTGCCTGGAACTTGTGTTCCACCTTTCAGAGTAGAAACTACATTTGCCAAAATTGAAATTCACTTGATGTTTAGGCCTTTTGTAATGTTGGCAAGAAGTAACTTCCTGTTTCCTAACAATAAAAGCCAACGAGGCTACTGAGGGAGATGCATATGGGTTGAGTTTCCTTTCAAAAATAAATATTGGTTTAAATCTTAAATGAGAAAAGGTTGAGCCAAATGCATTACACTGGATTTCTGCGACACATGATGAAAGCACTGATCATTTCCCTGTTTCCCTTTCACACCCCCAAGGAACAAATCACCACTGAACAAAGAGAGAAATGTTTGATTCTTTCACAGAGAATCGGGAATATGTCGCTGGACTTTTAATGGAGAATGAACTCTTTCATGGACAGAAGAGGCCACTGAGTATATAATAGAGTTAAATTTGATCCATTTCACCAAAGCAGGACAGGGTCACCTGATAAGAAGTTGTTGAACTTGATGTGAAAAAAGTTACACAACTCTAGCCTTCTAATTCTAGGGACTGTATAAATTAATCTCTGAGCAAAGTATAGAAAGGATTTTAAAATAAGGATATTTTCATTTTAGGCAAAATACCATCCAGAAAACATTGAAAATCCCCAAAGTCACAATAGTTGCTGTACTGCATTCTTTAGTGTTGAGTTTAGGGTTTTTAAATTGAAGTTATATTTTCTTTACTCCTTTACTCAGATGTCATCCTATAGATGTTTGGGAGAAACCACAAGGCCAAAAACAATAATTATCAAGAGGACCTTTTTTCTTTTTAAAAAATTCATACCACAATTTCAACCCTTTAATTTTCTACTTTCACTCTACACTATCCATTCACTTCCCCAGCACAGGTGACATAGAGAGACATACAAAAAATATGAAATGAAATCTTTTGATCTTCTTTTCATCGTGCCCCAGCCAGTTTACTTTACCCCACTGAGGTACAGAACAAAGAATACGGGATTCAGAATTGGGAGGACCATATTTAGGCCCTGGCTCTTCTACAGACTAGTTGGGTGACCTGGCCTAAGTCACTGTGTTAGAAGAAACAAGTAAAATGATGTCTGCACACTATTATTGAGTGTGTGTGTGTGTGTGTGTGTGTGTGTGTGTCACCATATATTCATATTACTACCAACTCTGTCCTTGAGTAAGGGGCTGCACCTTTCATGAATGCCATGACACAACAACTTCATCTGCAGCCTTTGGAGCCATGGTCAAGAAAGAATCATAGAAAGTCCAACTAAAATATTTGTTTTTTACTGATGATGAAACTGAGACAAGGAGATGTTAAGTCACTTACAAGGTTCACCCAGCTAGAACTAGAGCTTTTATATCACCCCTACTCCACTTGACTGAACTCTCCCAGCTAATTCTCATTTCATAGAAGACTAAAAAGTAGAGAAGAAAGAAGTGACTTTGCAGGATAAAAAGAGGATACATGTGGAAGGAGTATTTGAGCACAACCAACAACCCAGGGTTATTGGTGCCAGAGAGGCTGAAGAACACCTAGAAACCCATCGGCCAATGAAGAGAAAATGGATGTGAGCTGGTATATAGTGAGAATAAGGAATGTCAAGCTAGGATAAAGAAGAGGACATGGAAAAGCTGTAATCGAGAGAAAGTTACCTTAGTAAAGAGGCAGAATAATTGATCTATTTAATAACATCAAGAGCAAATTTGATATATTGAATATACATATTGCATATTTACCCTAGGAATCAAGCAGTCAGGCAAAGTTGCTAACATTGCCTCCTTTGTACAAGACTAACCCTACCAACCCTGTGAATTAAATGTTGTTAAATAATATCTGAGGTATTAACTTTCCTAAGGCAAAATTAGGGAATGAAATAGATCCTAATTCTCAATTGTATGCAGACTCTTTGGGACTTGACAAACTTTTGTTTTCATACTCACTCCATCACTTTCTTCAGAACATCTCTGAGGCCCTAGTTTCTCATCTGCAAGATAATAATAAGCCTTTGCAGAGCTTGGACAAGTGTTTTGATAAGATTGCACTGCCAAGCAGTGTCCCGTATGGGACAGAAATGCCTGGTGTGCTTCAGAAATTCTAAGTCCCTTTTTAAGCTAAATAAAGAAATGATTCAGGAAAGGGAAAAAATACCCAAGCTAAGATTCTTAGGCTATTAAGCCTAAACTGTTCCAAGATGTGATTCAGTTTACTATAAGGGGATCAAGAAGGATGGCGATTTTCTACTATAACTAGTCATCTACAAGTTAACCGGCAGTGTATTAAACACTTTGCATATTCTCTTTTAATCCTCAGCACAAACTTGTGAAGTTGATAGTATTCCCATTTTAGGTGATGCAATTGAAACTCAGACAGGCTAAGTAATATTAGGTTACCAGGGGTGTTGCAGGGATTCCAAACCAGGTCTGAACAAAGGAAACCACCTCAGTATTCTCCTATCTTTACTTTATGTTATATGTTCAAGTGGATATAACATCAAATGAGTAGTATGTAAAATTTTTCTTTTGACAGAACAGGATGATAAAGCATTAATTATACTTTTACACAAACACCTTCAACAATTGAAACACCCATTTCAACCTCTGTCTCTGAGTTTGAGCTGCTTGCGTCTGTCTGTGACAAGGGGACCCTCCGACTGAATTTCAATGTCTTCCATTTTCAGCTAGATTTTCCTCCCTGGATTAATGTGAGAGCATTATGAGGCAATCAATGCCAAAGACTTTTGTCAGTTTTCCACTTCCTTGGCTTAAATAAACAGTGTAAAGGAGGGGCCCGGAGGGTGTGTGGGGTGCTCACTCACTCATACAGATGCACTGTTGCACAGACACACAATCTCACAAAGACATACTTTGTCATGGTTCGCTTGGAAAAATCCAAATGAAAAAGGCGGAGGTGAATGAAGAATAAAGCAAAGGAGAAAAAGGAACTAATTTAGGGATAATGAGTGCAAGACTGCCTCAATAAAGAAGAACAACATGTGTCATTAGGTGGCAAGCTTAGCCTTTGTGCAAGATTACACTTCGAAACCCTCCTCCAATTACCTGTTTCTATGCATAAGTAAAGGGGAAATATAAAAGGGGGAGGGAGTACTCCCTAAACAGCGGTAACATTCAGAGAAAATGAACTGTTGCTGTCACAAAGAGATTCTTTTTGCAATTGCCACTGTGAAAGGTGAGAATCCACTATACCATGTGAAACCACATATAGGGTCACCTTTTTTCCAATGGCCAAAAATGGAACTGAGGAGCAGTGAAAGTGTGTCCCCATGTTTGCATCTGGCCTCAACATCTGGGTGTCTCAGAAGCTTCTGAATAAAGCAGCAAGTCTCCATCTGAGGTGACCTGTTCACAGCATGGGTCAGTTCATGAGAATGAAGCTCTTTTGCCATGAGGACTAATGACAGGGCAGGAAAGCCTGCGGAGGAGAAAGCCCTGAGCTTGAACAATGCATTCAAAAGCCTGGCTAAGGAACACTTCCAAAGTCATTCCTTCCTCACCCCACCAGCCACCACTATGGATAAAGGTAGGGGTGGGGTAGAAGGATAAAGATGATCAAGGAAAGGAAACCATAATAAGAGGTTTATCTCTGAGTGACTTAAACTTCCCCCCTTCCCAGATATCAACTCTATTGCAACTGATTGCCTTATCTAATCCCAACCCAATTTGTGGGTAATTGTTGGCTTTTACAAAGGAAAGCAGGAGATATTCTTTTCATAGTTGCCTGCCTTTCTCAAGTGTCCAGCCTCCCCAAATCCCCTTAAATAAGGATTACTCGCATGTAAGTCAGCTTCCTTTTCTGATACCATCACAACAGTGTTTTTTGTAATCTGACAAGTATAGGTTATTTTAAAAACCATGTAGCTAACAGGTATGTACTTCCTGCCTGCAGGTGAAATAGGCAGCTGCCACTCAGATTCCAAAATATGTGTAAGTATTGCCTTCAGGAAGGGTCAGGACTAATTTCCTTCCCCTCAAGCTGTTTCCCACAGGGAAAGTAAAGTTTCAGAAGGAGAATCTTCAGATGTCCTAGACATGCCCATCCTCACCCTCTGCAGAAGGAGCAAGATGGAATCATCTTTAAAAGACTTGTCACGGACAGCTGAAACGCCAACGCCAGTGTGAGGATGGTTAGGCCTCTGGAGCAGGCGCTGGCTACCATCGTGTGCACCTTCCGGGAATATGCGGGGCGCTGTGGGGACAAGCACAAGCTCTGCCAGGCAGAGCTCAAGGAGCTGCTACAGACGGAGCTGCCCAACTGGACCCCGACAGAGTTTCGGGATTGTGACTACAATAAACTCATGAGTGCTCCGGACACCAACAAGGACTGCGAGGTGGATTTTGTGGAGTACATGCGCTCACTTGCCTGCCTCTGCGTCTGCTGCCACGACCACTTCAAGGATTGTCCCCCAGAGCCCCCTGCTCCCAGTAGCCTCTGCTCCAGCACTGTAGGCAGAGGTCTGCTCAGATCTGCTCCATCTCTGCCCTGAGGTGGTCCTGGGCGTGTTGCCCACAGCCACCCTCCTCTCTCTCCTGCACCCACTCCATCGGGGGTCTCCCAGGTTTCCCCTGATATCTTAATCCATTTTGCCTATGGTGGGGGACACATGAGGGGACCTGTTCCCAGGATCACAAGCTGGTGGCTTATAGATGGATGGAGGTGGGGATCTGCTTTGAGGCTGTCCAGGCCCAGCAGAGTGTGTGCATGAACAACCACAGCAGGAACAGGCCTACTTAACTCCTAATAAAGAACTGGTGTCACTTGAAAAAAAATTAAAAATAAATAAATAAAAGACTTGTCATGTGAAGACTTAATTGCATAAAATGTAAACAACTATTTTGGAAATTCAAATTTCGGGTCAGCAGCAGATCCTTCTACGTTATAAAAAAGGGGCATTTGATTACTCCTTAACAGTCATAACTTGGCGATGAGGTAGAAATTTCAAAATATGGTTTAGATGAGTGGTTCTGAAATTTATAGTCTATCAGAATCTTTTTGAGAACTTTGTCAAAACACAGTGAACCTGGTCTTATCCTGCTGGGCCTCTAATTTTGTATTAACTCTCCAAGTGACTCTGATTGATACACACCAAACTTTGAGAATATCTGGTTTAGACAAACGTTAAGTACTCTGGCTGACCCCCACCCACAACTCCTAATGGAATAGCCTCTTAGACTGCTGGCTCTGTCTGTCCTACTTAAAGCAGAACCTCCCATAGGTTAAATCAGTCCACACTTAGTTTCACAGTTGCACAAACCACTGTAATATTGGAGAAAACATAAAAAATGAGTCAAAATTACCAGTGTCTTTGATCTATTTTGTACATGTCTCTGCTGCTCCTAAGCCTTCATCTTCAGTCCTGGTCCCATATGTCCAGCTCCACCTGGATGCATGACAGATACCTGAAAAAGAGCATGTTAGAAGCCAAGCTTTCATCTCTCCTCCTAAAAGCATGATCTTCCACTTGTATTTTCTATTTTGGGATATAAAAGAGGATGAATCACTATCCTTAAGATAAAATCTTTTCAATCATAAAAGATAAAATCTTTTAATCATAAAAAGGTCATGTAAAAGCTCTTCCAAACCAGTGTTAATAGTCCAATAGCCTACTAAATTGTCAAGAACTTATGTTCAAATCAAGGTTGTAATTTCAGCTCAGTCAAGATAAAAATGTGGGGTCGTTTATTAAAGCTCTCTGGGCCTACTTTTCCTCAGCTCTGAAATGCAGATAATCAAACCTATACCACCTAACCTTAAACTTAAATTAGGTAATTAAATGAGATAATTCCTATAAGGTGGATAAATAGGCATGGTAGACTCAAATCAAACATTAAACTTTTTCTCTAACAGAAACAAATATGAAGTTAAGACATGCTGGCTAATTAATAAATTATTGATTCTAGAAAGATAGTTATGACCCAGGTTACAGGTAAAGGAAATAGCAAACCCACATCTCCTAGAAAAGAAGGGAAAATGGTGTGTGAAGTTTTTTAACACTGAAGAAAGCAGTATTGCCCCTTTTCAATCAAGGCCATATCTAAAGAGACTATAAGAGAGGCTAGAATCATACTCCTCAACTAACAATTTTGAAGACAAAATAGCAATATAAGTTCTCTGCTATATCCTCTTACACAAAATAAATTGATACAAATATAGTAGGACATACTTTCTTCATTCTAAAATATAAGCATTCTTTTATTTTAAAAAAGAACTAGAAAAAATGATGAATTATAATGATTAGCATTTTTTACTCTAGATATATTATTCTATAATATTATAATTAATTACTAATATCCCTACATATTGCTATAAATGTACTATTTATTTTTTATATTTCAAATGCTTTGTTTTATTACCAGTGATATCCCTCCCATACTATTAAAAAAACATTCAACTTAAATACTCTCAGTGGGAAAGAACTCTTCCCAGGAATATATTGTACTACATTTTACAGCTCACAAAATTTAAAAAGCAGGCAGTGATAACAACTAATGAAGGCTTCCTAGAACAAAGGAATCGGTACACAATGTTCTTAGTCTTCACTAAGACTGCTGTGGGCCTGCAAGACCAACCAAGATGATTAACTGAGCATGCATAGCAGTTTAGACTATGTGTCATGAGACGTACATGATCCAAAAAACCTTTTTTAAATGTGGAGTTTAAGTGCATGTTTAAAAATAGGATCTATTCTCCCTGGGGCCTAAATCATTCACTGGAAGTCAGTTGGGTACCTAAGAAATGATGCTCAGGTGTCTTACACATATAAATATACAGAAGTATTATAATGAACCACACTAGCTATTATGATGAAGCAGGCTTTGAGAAGAAAGAAAAGAAGCAAAAAAAGAAGCATTGGTCAAATGTCAACTATGTGCCATATGCTCTCATTTATTCATCTCATTGGTCTTCATTAAACCCTGCTGTGAGAATGTTATTAATCCCAGCTTGATAGGTAGAGAAACCAAGTCTCAGTGAGGGCAAGTAAGTTGACCCAGGTTGCACAAAGAGTTTGTGGCACAGCTGAGACTCCAACTCATGTTTGCCTGATCCCCAAATCCATGCCATTTCTACCATCTGACTCTTCACATTTAACTTTGTTCTGTTTTCTTACCTCTATTTATATACTCTTAACCTTCTCACCCAAACATCACTTCCATTCAATTTATCATTAAGAAAAGCATAACAAGTAATTTACACTTGTATATGTACCAAAAAATTAATTACTTGATGTTATTTTAGTACTTGATAGTACTTGATGTTATTTTAAAAATCCCATTTTGCAAGATGTTTTCATACATACTACCATATTTTTACCTCACTACAGAAAAAGGGGTTAAGAGATACAGTGTCCCTCTCAGAAGAGCAGAAAAGGGAAGTAGTAGAAAGGAAATGGAATCAATATGCTGGTGACTTTACAAATGTGGGGTTTTACCTTTCTAATAACATGCAAGTAGTAATCTATTTAATAGATGAAGAATTGGGGCTCAGAGTGACATAAGTGATTATTAAGGTCAGTATTCAAATCCTCATTTGTCTATTTTCAGTAACCCAAAAGAGACACAGAAAAGGGAAAAAACATTATAAAATATTTTAGACTTTTAAGACTAAACTCAAAAGATGCTTTCTCTCTCAAAACTTTACTGATCCTCCATCTTCACCCCTCCTGTGTTGACTATTGTCTGTTACTACAAGCTGCAGGGTCCACCACAATAAATAGCATGTTGTTTTTGCCCTCAGGAGTTTATAATCTAGGAAGATGGGAAAAGGCTACAACTGAACTGTCTCTTGGATCTCAGAGCATACATCCAAATAGAGTAAATTAAAACATTAAATGCAAACTCAAAATACAAACAAGAAAAAAGTATCAGTAAGCAATCCTGAAATGAGGAGGGATTTTATGAGCTTAAAACAATAGAACACACAAAGGAGAAAAGCATGATGGATCAGATGTCTTTCTTTTCACGATATAGGTCATTTATATTCCTGGATTCTCTCTTAATAATCTCTCTAAATTTTTTCTATTGAAGTGTTCTTTTTTCTGCTGACTTGTAAGAAACCTTGATATTTGAAATACAATCACACTTTGTATGCCCTATATCTTGGAAATATTTTTTCTTAGATGGCTACTTGCTTTTCAATTTTGAGAATGGGTTTTTATTGGATTTTTAATGCTTATGTTGAGTCTTTTACATTAATCTTCCTTCTTTTGCTTTTGTTTTATTTAGAAAGTTTTATCTAATCTTGACATTAAATAATTATTTATTGTGTTTTTCAAGTATTTTTAGAATTTTTTTTTTCATTTAATATTCTAATGAATCTGCAAATTATTTTGGTGTATGTTGGAGGGTAAGAATCCAACTCAATATTTTAAAGCAATTATTAACAACTATTGTATGAAATATGGTTTCCCATTGATTTGACTTGCTACCTGTACTATATATTCAATTCTTTTTTTTTTTTTTTGGTACATGCCCCTAGCGGGAACCAAACCTGTGACTCTCTGGTCCGCGGCTGACGCTCCAACAGCTGAGCCAAACTGGCCAGGACTATTTAATTCTTATATATAGTAAAATATCTTTGCTTTCTTATTTTGTTCCATTGGCAACTTCTTTCTTTTTCCTCTTCTCCTCCACCTCCTCTACTCCTTCTTTCTTTTAAGTACATCACACCATTGAAAGTTTTTGAGTTGTAGAGTGAGTTAATTCATCCCAATCTTTAAAATGATTCATTAAGGGAGTGCATAGCTAGAACTGGGGACAGAAAAGACAGAAAACTAACAGCACTCTGGTTTAAGGTAGAAACAATGAATGGGAAAGGAAGGAGACAATTGTAAGACACTGTGGAAAGAGCTGTTTGATGGAGCAATGATGTAGAGGTAAGGCATACTAGAAAAGGAGCGGTCAACATGCCCCACAGACGTCTCATGCAGTTGACCACAATGGGTAGTAGTATTAATAAGAAATAGGAACCTCAGAAGAAAAATGGGTAGGATGAAGAGAGAGAATGAGATTTGGAAGGGACTGATGATTGACCCCACCTTATAATTTCAAACGAATAAATCCTAATCTGAGCCTATGACTGAGAATGCTGCCATGTCACGTGGTAAAGTAGCACTCAAGATGCAGAATAAAAGCTTGCTATATATGTGACCTAACTGAACAACCACTAACTTAGTGAGAAATCAGTATTCCACACACTCTGGGGGAAATCTCAATGTAATTTCATTTCCCTGCCAAAATGGGAAAAGATACAAAGAAACAAAATGCATATTACAGATGAACACATTACAGAATTTAGTCTTGGCCTTTCCTTTCTTCTCTGAAATACAAAATACTACAAAACAAAAGATTGTAGCATCCTGTATTGAATACTGCTGAGTTTTAGGGAAGTAGATGCTTCTATTATTTAAAGATAGACTACAGTCTCTACGCAGATTATTTGTCTTAAAAGATTATTGAAACTGCTGAGATTATCAAGACTCTGTATGGAAAGAACATCTGAAGTGCACTTTAGACTTCTAAGCGATTCACTTTCCCAGTGTTTTCTACTTCTGGATACTTTCTGAGTCACTGAATCCAACACTCTTCAGCAAGGTCTCTCCTTCATTCAACAGATGCAAAGCAAGAGGAAGGATAAAGTAGGATCAACAAACAACAGGGAGGAATAAAAGTTTAACTAAGGCTTTGGATGAAACTGTTATCTCCACTCGGTAAACCAGATGTTAACATTCCATGCTCATTCTAAGAGAGTTATTAGATTTGACAAAGGTTTTGAGGAATGTGAGTCATTAATATGAGGGCTTTGTCATGGCTCAGTAACCACTCAGCTCTCTTCCTCATGTAATCCTGGATACACCTATGCAATGATCCCTGATTTATTACAGTAACATTGTTTTTCATTTAAAGGAGAATTCTTCATTTACACTGGACCACAGATGGAAGTATTAACTTTTCATTTTTCTTCTTTCTTGGTCTTCATTCTCTGATATTGACAAATTTCTCCACTCGTGAATCTCCACTCGTCATCCTTTCTTCTCTTCTTCTTTATCTATAATACTCATTCATCCTCATCATATTTTAAAAATTTGTTTGTTTTCTTTTTCACTACCACCTGAATCCTCCTTCCACTTTCTCCAAATTATTATGACAAAGAAGGAAAAATAATAATAAAGAAAAACTATAGCCAGGAGGCCTAGGCCCTAATGCTGGCTCTGATCCTAACTAACCATGTAACCTCGAACCAATATTTTCATTTTTGTGGGGTTATTAATTTAAGTTATGAGATTTTGTCATTTTTACCTTTAAGCCTCTGTTATTCTTATTCATACAATAATAAGACATTATCAAATCCACAAATATTCTAATTTTTCTTCACTTGCTGTGAATCAACAAATGAATAAGAGCTGCAATGTTCAGTATGGTAGTCACTAGCAACATATATTTGTATACATTTAAATTTGAGGAAATTAGATAATATTCACCAATGATACCTCTGATAAGGGGTCAATTCCCCAAATATATAAAGAACTCATACAACTCAACACCAGGAAGACAAACAATCCAATTAAAAAATGGGCATATCACCTGAATAGACACTTCTCCAACGAGGATGTACAGATGGCCAATAGACATAAGAAAAACTGTTCAATGTCACTAATCATCAAAGAGATGCAAACTCAAATGACAATTAGATATCACCTCACACCTGCCAAAATGGCTACCATCAGCAAACAACAAATATTCTTCTCTGAGGATATACAGAGAAGAGAAGCCTAGTACACTGCTGGTAGGAATGCAGACTGGTGCAGCAACTACGGGGAGCAGTGTGGAGGTGCCTCAGAAAATTGAAAATGGAACTGTCATTTGACCCAGCAATTTCACTCTAGGAATATATCCTAAGAATTGAAACACCAATTAGAAAGAATATATGCACCTTTATGTTTCTAGCAGAGTTATTTACAATAGCTAAGATCTGGAAACAGCCCAAGTGCCCATCAGTGATGAGTGGATAAAAGACTGTGGTACATTTACATCATGGAATACTATGCAGCTGTAAAAAAGAAGGAGCTCTTACCCTTTGAGAAAGCATGGAGGACCTGGAGATTATTATGCTAAAATAAAATAAGCCAGTCAGACAAAGACAAATATTATATGATCTCACTTATATGTGGAACCTAATGGACAAAATGGGTCCAGAGATATGTATGCATGGAACAGAATAACAGATCTCAGTGGGTGGCATGGGGAGGACGAAAAGAGATTAACCAAAAACATATATGCATATATAGTATGGGGTAGGCCTGGGGTGAGGTCGGGGTTGGGTGGAGGGGGGCAAAAATGAAGAAAATGGGAGACATCTCTAATACTGTCAACAGTAAGAAAATAAGGTAATATAATGAAGTAGTTTTTAAAATCCAATTATTCAGATGCACTAACTAAATTTTGAGTGCTCAAAGGCTACGTGTAGCAAGTGATTGCCCTATTGGATAGTGCAGATAGTATAGAACATGTATACCATCATAGAAAGTTCTATTGGATAGCACTGAATTAGAACAACCTAGTGTATATGAAACACTATGCAAAATATAGACATAGAAATGATAATAATTGCCTTCAAAAAGCTTGCAATTGGGAGAAAAATGCAAACATACTTGCAGTGTTAAAAAAAAAGAAAGAAAAATAAAAATACTGTTTATGGCAGCCTTTAGGATATGACCTGGTGTCCTATTAAACATCCCTTATCTTCAGTTCCTACATTTGTAAAATGAGATTATACTAGACCATATCTATATTCCTTTCAGGTTTTAACTAAGATTCTATTATTCTGCTGGATTTATGTTTATATGATCATCTTTAGTCTAAGAATTCATATAGAAAAAGGTAGGATTTAAACTGGGCCTTGAAAGATACATGAGATTGGGATAAGCAGAAATGAGGGGAAGTTGTATGTGTAGGCTGTACCAAAATAGGTTTACATCAACCAACAGGTTCTTCTTACACTGACAGTTTAAGAAAGGCTTAGCGCCCATAAGTCAGGAATGAGGTTCCTGCATAGGCTGGGAAGTTTAACTCTAAACTCAAATCCTGTTCAACTCTAAGTGTCTTAAATTATGAAAGTATGAACTGGAGTGTATGAATGTAGTGAGAGTTGAGGACATATGAAAATAAAGGGGGCTGAAGTTATTTATTAGATTACAGTATTCAAATTAATTAAAAAAAAAAGTTAGCTTGGATCCCCCTTATTCAATGGGGAGGGTACTGGGAACCATGGAGAAATGCAATCGAAATAATCTCAAGGACAAGACATGTGAGACTATTTAAGGTCTCTCTACCTTGTTGAGGAATATTGTATAAAGATAAAAAATACAATAATTTAACTATCTAGAATTCTTGCAACGTCCTACAATAAACCTAAACTTCATTTTATTTTTAAAAAAATTTTTAAGAAACACCTCCAATTTTTATTTATAAAATTAATCAAAACAGCAACAATAGATTTACAGAGCCACATATCAATAACAAAACAAGATAGAAACAAAATATTCCAAAGACATCTTGAAAAGTTTCAAAGGCATACACACCAAACTAAACCCATGGGTGCACACAGGTTATATTTGCTCCTGCATTTTCTCAAAAAGTTCTTCTTTATATTTGCCTTTCTCTTTTCCAACTTGTGGAGATTTGGCTTTGCGTTCAAGAATTTTTTTCTGATCTTTGTCCAGGTTTAGCTTGGTGATAACCACCTCGCTTGGGTGAATGCCCACATATACAATTGTGTCGTTAGCCTTCTCATGCTGCACCCACTCGATGTAGATGACATATTTCTTTCTGTACACCTGTACTACCTTGCCAATTTGCTGACCATTGTAGTGTCCTCGAACCACCTGGACCTCGTGGTCCTTGCGGATGGGCATGGAGCGGACGTTGTATTCCTGCCGCAGTTCTTTGGAGAGAAGGGAAGACATGATCTTCCGACACACGTGGGAGGGGGCATTGAAGTGGCGTTTGCGGTTTTTGCTACGGTCCAAGGTCACAAAGGGGTAGAACTTCATGGTGACCGTCTGCCAGTGCTGGAAGTGGTCAAAGAGTGCACATGCAGGGCAGAAAATGAGCCTAAACTTCATTTTAGACTGGATTGGTTCAGGACCTCCTGAAGCAAAGATCTGGTCTCGGTGAGGAAAACATAATTAAGTTATTCCAGAGAGTAAAATAGTGCACTTTCCCAAGAATAAAGAATGTCTTCCCTGCCTACTTAGAAGGATGTTCTTTCAACATGTCCACCTTCCTGGGGGAAATGAGTTTCAGAAGTCTGTAATCTCATCAAAGGAAGCCAAGTGACAGAGGCTCTCTCCCTAGGAGAAGGAAATCAGAAAATCTTCCTTTCTTTCCTTCCAGGCCCTAGTCATTGTTTTCCTGGAGACTAGTTTCCAAGCTATTGAAATTTTCCTTCATCCTTCTGAACCTTCAGTCAGATTTGAGGAAGTGGTGATTTCTCCTGGATTCCTTCTTTTAAGCTCACCCTTTTGAGTTACAGGGTCCAGCCAGGCCTTAGCTCAATTCTTGGTCAGCCTAGCATTTGACATTTTGCAGTCTTAGACAGTGGTCTGAAATGAGTCTGGATGCACAGACTTCCAGACAGGTTACCTTCATTAAGTATATTTTTCTCAAATCTTGGCGAACAGTTCTGGAATGAGATAACCTGATGCCTTCGGGGTATATCAGGAATCTTCAAGACTGAAATGCATGAAATGTGGGCTCTATACCAGCTCAATGATTCGAAGCCGGAACTCTCCAATTCAAAAGAGAGGGAACACTGTGGAAAACTTGAGGAGTTTAAACATGTTTATTAAAGGTAATTGAATCTGTATTCTTTTATTCCACAAATTCACTGGGAAGTCCTGACAATACTTTCTGTTTTCATACAACAAAATGATAGCAATTTTGACTTCTTTTTTTCTTTGCTGACTCACCAGAGGGATCTAGAAATGCTCTTCTTCCCGGAAAATAGGAGAGCAAAGGTTTCTCAGCTAAACACAGATGGGTGCTTAGTAGATAAAGCATAGTCCTGCTAACCCACCCCAAGAATTACTAGACTTTGGCTTCCCGCTCATACACATGCTGGAGAACCAGACTGGATGTCATCTTCAGAGTCGTGAGACAAGTTGCTGGGAGTGTGGGTGAAGGAAAAGAGGACCATCAAAATATACCCCTTTGAATTACAAGGCTCAGGCTTACCTTTTTAATATTACTTTGATAAACTATACTATGTGGTAGCCATTTTGATATCGCTTGCAGGGCAAAAGTCAACTCAGCCATCACCTTCTCTAGTCAGTGAGGAAGTGGTTGTCCAGGATTATGGAGGTGTGCATTCTGTTCTCTGCTATAAATGAAATGTGGAATTGTATTGTTTCTGATGTGAATTTCCCTGATACCTGCTATAGTGTCAATTATATTACGACACCGTTAGCCAACACAGACTAGACATTGTGTGGCTTCAAAGGTCGTCTTATTTTGCTTTTCCAACTCCCACTCAGGGGAGAGAAGAGATGAAACCTGAGAAGGAGAAATGCTCCTAAGTTGTTCAGAAGCCTACAGGGACTGCCCACTTAATTATCATCTTTATAACCAGCACTGAGCAAATGTGACACTATCCCACAATAACTGGTAGCAGTAGTCAAATGATAGAGTTTCCTTTCCTTCTTCATCTAGGTTCCCTAGTGGTAGACAGGCATCCTGTTTTGTGTATACTTTCTAAACAATGTGTTTAAGACATATTTAAATACTTTCATTTACAAGCCTGAGAAAACAGCTGTTCAGCTCCAAATTATAGCTCTTGGAAGGTGCCAGAGATATAAACACAGAACCACATAAACAGTTGAATTTATCTCTTGGCAACTTTTCACAACACTTTCAGCAAATGGAGCACCCATGTGTGAAAGAAAAATAATCAGGCACATGCCCTATTAGGTGACAGGTTTTCGCATGTAACAAAAAAGGCACCTTTTTATTCTCCACACTCCCAGCTACCCACCAACCCTCACTCCAAATGCCATTTGAGAAATCCATCAGTATACAGATTCAAACAAATCTCACTCCCCTCAGAAACTCTTTTTTGTATCTCAGGATGAATTTTTCCTCCTGGTGAATCATCTCAAGATTCACCCCAAATGCACTAGGGGCTTGTGGGGCAATAGTACCATGTCATGTTCTTGCTTATTCAAACCAAAGATGTGGTCTTCTAAGAGTTCTTCCTAGCACTGTATGAGAGTGGCCGATTAATTTTCTGGATTTAAAACTGTCTTGAAAGTTGTACATGTCAATAGACAATGTAATTGGGGTCTGTGTCGAAAACTGGTAGTTAAGCTAGGGCCGTTTAAGCTCCAGGTGGCGGCCTTGCTTCCCAGAGAATACCCAGTTTCGGACTGGACAAGTAGCTCACCAGTCATTCTAGTTTCTGAATTTAACAGAGAAGAGTTGTGAAGGGTAGCAGAGTGGGCTGCCCTGAAATATGACTGTAGGAGTTCAGGACAAGCCACCACAAAACATGCTGCTTTGATAGATTGATCATTTTGAGCTGTAGGCACTTGAAAAACAGCCAATGAAGGGAAGGGCTTTTACTGAACTCCCTTGTCTGCCTAAAAACAGATACTAAGAAAAGGACTCAGTTGTCATAAGTCCCTTCCCCAGGAGTTTTATCAACCAATGAAGATTGGCTCTTTCCACAGGAGAGGAGAGAAACATCACAAAGTATCATACCTCCTTATCTTTTATTCTCGGGGCCCATTCATCTTTTCTAAATATCATTTACTGTCCCTTAAGAGATCTACATTCTCCTCTCTGTACCCAACATGATATTTAAGCCTGAATTCTAAAGCCACCTCAGGGAGTTACTTGTTTTTTCCTGTATGTATCTCTGTATACATGAGATATACATGTTAATAAACTTCTGTTTGTTAACTTGTCTTTTATTACAGGGATCTCAGCTAAAAACTTAGAAGGGTAGAGGGGGAATTCTTTCTTCTCCCCTATAGATGACACACAATTTTCAGAAGAGTTTTTCCACTTAAGAGGAACTTATCCCACTAGAGCTATCAAATGACACCAAAATTCAGAACAAGCGCTATGACAAGAAATATCAGGTGTTCCATCATTTAAATTACCACTAATGCCAGTGAGTGACAGGAAATAACAAAGGTAGGGAGTGAGTGAATTGAGCCCCAGCTGACCTGTGCTCACTTTCTTAGGAAGAAGAGACTGCTTTTAGAGTACTTAGGATTTTCCCAGAAAAATCTGTGAATTATCTTGAATTCACATTTGCCTCCACCAAACCCTAGAACTAGTATTAACCATCATTTTAAAAGTGACTTCCAGCATCCCATTATGTTTTAAGATTCTCCAGGCTAACAGGTTAACACGATGACCCTGAGATAATGGTGTAGCAACCATCTTACAATGAAATAGCATTAGAGAGTGTTTGGATCCTCTATCACAACATGGTTTGGGGAAATCTCTGAATCCCAGCCAGGATACCATTTAGCTAAAAGTGGGCTGTCTCTGTACCCATTCAAAATGCTTTGTCCTTCCAGTGTTTTTATCTTGACCACAACCAAGTGAGGTAGAGATATTATCCAATTTTTGTTAATAATGAACTAAGACTAAGTGATGAACATAAGGTCATAACTAGTAAGTGTCAAAGCTAGGTATGCTCTCCCAATTTAGTAGCATTTCCACTTCCTGGAAAGGTATCAATATACTATACTTGAAGTTCAGATTGTTCCTGACACATGATAAGTAACTAGTACACATAAATTTAATGTTAATGGTTCTTATTTTTTCTTTGTTTTTCTTTTTAAATCCTCATCTGAGGACATTTTCCATTTATCTTTAGATAGAGTGGGAGGGAGGGGGAGAGAGAGAGAAAAAGAGAGAGAAACATTGATGTGAGAGAGACACATTGATTGGTTGCCTCCCACACGACCCTGACCAGGGCTGGGGACTGAACTGCAACCGAGGTACGTGCCCTTAACCGGAATCAAACCTGCAACTCTGGTCCACGGGCGGACACTCTAACCACTAAGCCAAACTGGCCAGAGCTGCTTTGATGCCTTTTTTTTTTTTTCTTTATTGATTTTAGAAGGAAAGGAGGGAGAGGGAGAGAGAGAAAGAGAGAGAAACACTGATGAAAGAGAACATTGATTGGCTGCCTCTTCCATGCACCCCACTGGGGATTTGACCTACAACCTGGGCATGTGCCCTGACCGGGAATTGAACCAGTGACCTCTTGGTGCAGGGGTCCATGCTCAACCACTGAGCCACACTGGCCAGCCGTTTTGATGCTCTTTAATGTAAGTTACTCATTATATCTGTTTTTAGATGGTAAGCAGAAAAGTATTCTCTATAAAATTGTTTACCTCATTATTCCTAATAAAACAGTGCTATTTGATATTTATTAAGGCCTAAATAAGTATGACATTTTCTTAAAATATCCTATACCTATGCCTCAAAACTACAGTTATATATGTGTAAATGGGTTCAGAAAGCTTACATGACTTTTCCCATCATAAGTGGTGGAATACAAACTTAGGTCCACCACAGTCAATAATGCTTAAGGGGCTGTGTGTCCTCTCATCTCACAAGTTTATGTGGCTGTGAAGAATGATTCCATTATGTAAAATAATGAAACTACGAAAGGAAGTGTGTTTGAGTGGGTAAAATTAAATTTCACCTAGGTATGCTTATTTATTTATTTTTTATCCTCACCCGAGGACATTTTTCCAATTTTTGTTCAGGTAGAGTGGGAGGAAGAGAGAGAGAGAAACATCAATGTGAAAGGGACACATCGAGTGGTTGTCACCCGCACGACCCATCCAGGGCCGGGGACAAACTGCAACCGATGTACGTGCCCTTAGCGGGAAGTGAACCCGGGTCTCTCTGGACCGCAGGCCAACACTCTAACCACTGAGCCAAACCAGCCAGGGTTAGGTATGCTTATTTTAAAGAGATGGTTAAACAATCTAAAGAAATGTTTAGTAGGACATTGAGAAAACCTGGA